TCGCTACCAACCAAATTTTCTGATTCCATATTATGCAAAGCGAAAAGTCAAGGTTGCTGGACTTAAATATGAACATAAGTCAATTAATTTACTGTAGATTAAAAAATGATAAATAAAATTAAAAAATCCGACCGAAGACTTTGAAATCATGCAATAAATCATCTTTGTGTGACCTAATAATGTATTATAACTAAATCAGGTGTAGAGTGGGAATACTATAAATATATAAAAAGTGACTCTTTTATTATTAATAAAGTGGGAGGATAGTTAGTGAAAAGATAGACAGAGAGATAGCGAACAATAAGTAACAAGTGGTTAACAGAATAATCTCGATCACTCTAATGATTATACTTTCCTTAAAGTCCAACTATTATTAAACCCAAACCCTTCAAAAACACTCGTCCCGCATAATTTATGTAGTGTCCAAAGTTAAGCCGAACATGCCTCCCAATTCTGGGCACTACACCCTTTCGGTTGGCACTGGGTTGTGACCATGTGACAAATAATATTTGATGTATAAACCATTTAGTAAATAACTATTTGTTACTTCCAATGATCTGTTGCACCCAGTTCCAAATGAAAAGGTCACCGCTAAAAAATAGATTTAATCCATGTTTTCTAAATTTTTTGTTCAACTATTTGATAGCGAAGATTCTTTAAAAGTAGCCTGATCTTAAACTACAACATATTATCGGTTTAAGTTTTCCCTTGGCAGCATTCATATATATAAATTTATCGAATCTATTATTCCCGAAATCACAAACTTACCGAAAAATCGTTCGGCCAATTTTTATCAGGTGTTCCAGGAAATTATGAAAATAGCTGTTTTGAAAGTTCAATTTCTTTTACGTTGAGGACCGGTTTCGGATCAAATCGAGTTTTTAATCTGAATCGGAACACTAGATATCGATATAATGAAGGATTACAAATTATTAACTTCAGCTTAATATAGTGAAGTACATATAATATTTCCCTTATATAAGTATAGTGAGGATTTTTCTTCCTGGTCCGATGATCTCACCATAGTGAGGGTGAGTTTTACTCGCGAGTTAGTAAAAGACTTTTTTCTTTTAATAATATAGATAATTTGTTGTAATAAAACTTATAGTTAAAGATCAGAAAAAAAACGAATGTATAAAAAAAATTTTGACATAACACAACGACTTAGTTTATAAGTAAAAGCAAACTTTTCTTAAACTTCACGTTAGACCAAGTTTCACAATTTTATTTGACAGCGAAAAATTCAATAAAAAATTTCTTACCGAAACTTTTATATATTTTTGCCTTTCATTACCTTTAGCGTTAGCCTGAATTGTCATCTAGAATATTATAATAGTCACAACAGATAGTCTGTTAAGCCTAAAACCTATGGCGAAATTAGGTCATTATAAGGATCAAACCAAAATTCTAACAAAATCATGTAGAGAGAAATCTCTCTAAGTGTTCTCTGAGTGCATCCAATATATATAAAGTGTTGCATCGAACTATTTGTAATTATGATTATGCTTTATTCAGCAAGATTTTCTCATGTATCACCTTGTCGTGTTATTAAAATTTCCATCTTTGATATACCAAAGTTTCAAACTTCTGAATGGATTTTATTGACTTAAAATCGTTTTTTTTTTGAATTTTCTTTTAAACCTTTCAAAATACAACAAATTTTCTCTATTTGCAAAATTTCAAAAATTACCGAATTTTCTCAATTTATGAAATTTCCAAAACTTCGAAAATTTTGAAAAAAAATTGTGATGATCGATTCTCCGGAGGTGACACAGCTTCTGAGGAATAAAAATCGACCATTATAACGCATGTACATATATCCTTTACTTGATTTAAAGATTAAATCTTCAAATTTATTAGGCGTTAACTTAAAGTTCGACTAATGTAATTAATTTGGCCATACTTGACTTAAATATATCTAAATCATTATCGATATACATTTCATTTCGAGGCATTCATTTATTACTTTTGAGTCATAGACTACCATATATAGAACCCGGGTCTGCTACATTTCACCAATCTTAAAACCTATAATAGGTCCCGGATATAATACATTACTGAGAGCTTATATAACGGAAAGTAAAAATGTGAAACGAAAAACAGAAACATTATGTTAAGGATAAATCGTACGTACGTAAGTACCTGATCTTATCAAGACACTTAGGTAAACCTAGTTGTAAATTAATATATATTGAAACTAAGAATAGGAAACACGTATATCTAACACAAGCATTATTTACAGCAGTGATGGGCATTGTGCATGAATAATATGTCAGGGGCTAACAAATTTTATGCATGAATTAAATCGTTTCACCTCGCGTACTTTCCGAAAATTTTTATGCAAAAAATAGTTACAGTTTTAAATTTTTAATCATTAATAATTTATATAAACTTTCAACCAAAAATAAATCTATTATGAAATAACTTGTGTTAATAAAAATTTAAAGCTGTAACTTCATTTTACTGCACTATAAATAATCATTTGCTGCAAAAATTCACAGAAAAAAATTATTTGTTCGCGAAGTGAATCAATTTTTAAATACTAATATTTTGATAGTAATCTATCGATTCGCCGATCTATGCATAAAATCTGTACATCAAGAAATTTCCCGAGATTTTAATAAAGGATACCTTAGATCATTTCTATCCCACGGATCACTCGTGCGATGCGTATCCTGCGCGGAAATCAGAGAAATCCGCAAATTGCTCATCACTATATATATCAGAAAGTAAAAATTTAAATTTTTTTCACTGTTGAAGCGCATAAAAAAGCTAATTTATATTACTTGGACGGAAATTGATTCCTCCTGCTACTCTTCGGAAAATTAATATGTTAATCCTAATTATTAACTTTTACACTTTTGCAAGCTCTTTATTAATAAATTATTGTTTTTTTTGCAATTAATTTTTATATCACACTCAATATTAAACTTTTATCTAAAGGATTGATAGTATCAGTAAATTTTATCATTTAAACTTAAAATAATCACAAATAAATTCGGTTGGCTCAATGCGCAACGTTTTATAAAAACAATATTAAATGACTTAATAGAAACTAATAAAGATAAAATACCTTAATGAGATATCAAATCAGAAAGTGTTTCAATACTGCAGTGTTTAACGTTCACATTTTATATTCTGTTTAGGAAGTAGATCAACAAGCCCCGTATTTTGAAGATTTGCAAAGTACAGTTTTCAAAGATTATCAGCAAAAACCACTAATGGGTGTTTGAAATCCGGATATAATTTTTATACAAATAATATATTTATATTAAAATAATAATCAATTTAATTATTATTAAATTTAGGGCTAGTAACTAGAATTAGAAGAAGTATAGTTTATATTGAAATTTTACAAGGAATTTTAGAGCCTTAATAACAATTTCATAAGAGGATATCATTAATTTTTAATTTTTTTTTTCTTTATTTTCGTTGTACAAAAATGATCTACATACTGCATTAAATTTTATATTTAATTGACTTTTCAGATTAGTTTGTGTAACTATGTATTAACACCCCGTGTACAAATAGTAATTACCTTTTTCAAAAATTCGTTATCGTATTTTAAAACTTCGACTAAATCAGTATATAGAGTAAGAAGTATAGGTATACATTTATATCAAATTTTGTTAAAAATGTTTTATTAGGACATAAAAGCCAATTTTTTAAGCAACGTTTCCACTATATATAATCGAATCTGAGTATTTGATTGGCAGAAGTGTTTTTATATATAAGCGTACATCATTGAATTAAGTCCGTTTAAAAGACGTGTGACACATCATTACAATATTATGTAGTTCAGTAATATAAAATTTTTAATGATATACTTGATCTTCATGCCGATTATTTGAATTCAAATTTATCTAAATTTAGTAAAAATCCGCTTTCTTCTCCGGGACATTTCTCTTCTTAACACAAAGGTTCCAATGATTCAAACCGTTGCGATTTTTAATTTCTGTTTTGTGATGACCTAATTTTTCGCGTGTAGTATAACGGTACAAGACTGAAATGTGTGACGGATTAGACTAATTGACTAACATTGGCACATATAAATAGATTTTAAGTTAGAAAGTGGATTTAGAAAAACTGTACCAAAACTATAAGTAGAATTTCTTTCTTAGAACATCAAAGGCAGCTTCATAGGCAAATTTTGTAGAATAAAATTTTTTTCTTAACTTTATCAATTAACCTACCTTACACAAATCTCGAACATACGTACTACAGCAGTATTATCTGTTATGTAATATATGTATATCTACGCACGTATGTGTGTACGTACTAATATTATGTCGATATGCATAATTAGTTGCGATTTCAGAGAGCGACATTTAACTTGGCTTATTATAATTAGATTTACTTACGTACAAACGTCCGTTCTTCCGAAAATTAGTATATAAAATGTAAATTGTTTATATATGCATACAGCTCTGTGAATAAAATGCTTTTCAATAAAGCCGAAGTTATTGGGCGCACTGAAGCAATCAATTGGATAATCTAATAAAGTTTCTCATGAGAAGCTTCAACACAATAGTTCAATATTATGCTCAAAAAAGTTTATGCAATTCTATAGATGAAAATATTAGTAAAACCTTGTTTATTTATTTATTTTTTTTATAAGTCAAGTGTTTGCATCTCAATATAACATAGTAGAGATAATAATACTATAAAAAAGTTCTTTGTCTTCTTGCCTTTAACTTAACATATCGAGCCATAGTGACACGGATCATAGTGTTCTTTAAATGAATAACCGAATTAGAACTGCCGAAATTGTTTAAACGTTACATACTATACAGAAACTTTGAACATCTTAATGCGCAGTAACTGCATAGTAACTATGTAGTTACGATTATATTTAATAGTAATTATGTAATTACTATGTCGCTACTATGCAGTTACTGTGTATAAGATATTTAAGTTTCTGTAAAGTATGCAGGCTCCAAAAAAAATATAAATATAACTTTTTTAAAACTTTCTCCCAAAGAAATATTAAAAAACCAACAATGAGTCAATTAACAAGGCAAGTTATTGGCACACAGTCACAAAGTGATAGTAATCAACTACGAAGATCTCAGAATATTAGTGGTCCACAAAATGTTAACCAACTACGAAGATCACAGAATATTAGTGGTTCACAAAATGTTAACCAACTTCAAAGAACCTCGAATATCAGAAGACAATCTTTAAGACCTCCGAACACTGTTGCTGTTCAACATTATGCTGACCTAATTGGTGGCATAAATCCAAATTTATTCGATAGAACGCAGGAAGCAGAAAATTCACCGCCACAGAGTGCTCAAGTTTCATTGATGTTGATTTCAGGATTTTCGTTCCAATAATAGTTATGGTTTCTATATGTTGATGCCTTTTTTATTTCTAAAGTTTCATATTCTAAGTATAAAGTCACCTTAGGAATATATAATATATTGTATTATTCTATATGAAATACCAAACTAGGGTTTTATATTATGAAAATATGGAGACAATAATTTGAATATTTTATTGACTAATTCATGGGAAAAGTTATTGTCAAATATACAATTGATAGAATTTATTAAATTCTGTACCTTGATAGTGTTCATACAACTTTGTGTAAGCTTCATATAAACAGTTGTAATAAAGAGCCAAAAATATCAGTGATAAATGATCCATCAAAAGGCTATAAATTATCTACTTATAATTATTTAAATAATACATACAATGCTTAGAAGTTCTTAGTTACATTAAATTTGTTTAAATGTGCTTGAAAACTCTGAAATTTAGCATCATGTTTATAATTTTTGGTCATACGTTCAAATGAGCAAGAAAGAGAAAACAGATTATTTACTGCTACAAAGAACACATGCATTCTTTTAAGCTATGAATTGGTTCATCTTTTCGTCAACTTGCCTTTACGTACTTTCTGGCAGTATACAAAAATAATTAATACGATGAATTTTCATAAAAGAAATGATATGAACTCATATTCAGTAAGTGATCACTAAGTTACTATATAAAAAATAATTTACATTTAAGAATCTAATTATAAGAAGTTGATCATACAATGAAAAAAATAGCAAGACATTTTTTCATCGGAGTTAGTCACTCGTATTGCTTTGCGGCCATGGGTGAAATTAACTCCGATGAAAAAATTTCCTAACCAATATTAGTGTTATTATATTGGCATGTGAAATTTCTGTGTACATTTTACACAGATGATGAAAATGTTTGCATAATTATATCCATAATAATAATATATGAACTTAATGCCGAAGGCAGGTTTTCTAGTCCATTCCCCCATATATGAAATTTACTTCGTCTTTAAATAAAATATTCATGAAATATCCTGAAGAGTGTCTTTTAGAAGTGCGTAAATCGCAATATTTAATTGAATAAAAATAATCCTTAATATCATGATACATTTACTGGCCAATCAGAGAGCAAGATCCGGTGTAATGTAACCAGTGAGATTTCACCTCCCGATTTGTCGATCGATTACTATATTTGTAATTCCCGGCATTGTCTTTTATAACGCAATTCTGGGTTTGTACTTTAATATTTTTGATTAGTCGTATCCGAAAAATGTGGAAATTTTACATAAAAAATACGTAAGATGATTAGCTAAGGGTGTTAATAACATTAATAAAATGCATTAGTAAGCAACATCCTGTACACGTATAACTAGAATAACATAATTTTTTACAATAACTAGGATAGTAAGTAAGATCTGTAACAGTTACTTAGAATTAGAATAGTTACTAATGCAACCCTGACTAAATACTACAAAATATATTACTGTAACAAAATTTTTTACGGTAATTTACGATAGTAATCACAAAAATTCCAATACGAACCAACTTAAACACTGTGCATTAGTAAACAAGTCCTGGAACAGAATTTTTACCAATAACTCACAATAGGCTTTAGCTGCATATTGTATGTCACTGGAATAGCAAGTAAGTTTTGTAATAGAATTTTTTACGGTAATTCATAATAATCCAATTCGAACTAACTCGACCTTAACTACATGCTGTAATTACTGAATTGCAAGTGTCTTTAATAGGATGCTTTACGGTAATAACTAAGGATTGGATTCGGTTTAGTCGACTAAAAAATTTTTATAGTAAGCTACTATGTTTAGTCGACTAATTATTCGGCTAAACATAGTAGTCGACTAAACCGATTCCAACCCCTAGCAATAACTCAACCTTAACCACACTGTGTGTACTGGAATAGCAAGTAGGTCTTGTAATAGAATTTCACAGTAATACCGATGCAACTTTAACCATATACAATGATCTCCGGGATAGTGAGCAAGATCTAAATTTGTTACAGTACCTCATGGTAGAAATCACAAAAATCTCAATGTATACAATTGTCATCAAAATAGTATGTAAGTTCTGTAACTCATAATAGAAATTTAATACAAACTTTAGCTAAGCATTTAACAGAATTTTTCGATTCCAATACAAACTAGCTACACATTATGTATCACTGGAATAGCAAGTTTTGTTACAGTAACTCAGTAGAAATTACGATAATTCCAATACAAAACTAACACAACTTAATTACATATTATATAACAGAATTTTTACATTAATTGGTCGAAGTATTTAAGATAGGTAATTAATCTCATTTTTATTCACTCTGATTTAGTATGTGTATGAACATAATATAATGATCACTTATTAGACAAAGTTAATAATTTATTCGATTTTTATTAGCATTGATTTAATCTACAGGCATTAATTTATTAAAAAAATTATTTTCCATTAGAATATCAACCTCATATTTGTGTTAGTGGTGGCACTACCTTAAATCGCCGTATACAAGACTCTCCATGATCGTAGGCCCACTACGTAGTATACCCGGATGCGAATCATAATCATGGGATCCATATTAATAAACATGGTTTTTTCAAATATTTGGATTGCCTATTATAAATGCAAAACGTGTATACTCTTTAAAGATTTCCTCTTAGTGACATGAACTCTCGGCTACATACTAGACCCGGTCTACTATATGGTTTAAAATTAGTGGAATGTAAGAGACCCGGATCTGGTATACGGCGATTTACGGTACTTTCCAGATAACCATTTTTTTGAAAGCTAAGGTAGCTTGATTTAGAATAAGGGTTATATATAAACTGTTCTATTCATATTACTTAATCCCCACTTAATGAAAATTACAGATTCTTAATCAAGCTCTAAAATTTTTATGAATTCTTACAGAACCTGTGGCGAGACCACAGGTCGGACGCTAATAAGTCTTTTAAGAGCGATGTATTAAATGTATTTTATTAGGATGGCTGTATGACGCGGTTGCGCTAAAACCAGGAACGTTACATGGGTACGTTTTAAAATTAGACATTTAGAAATAGAATTATTTACATTTTTATAGTTTGATTTAATTTTCAGAAGGGCTAAAACTTCATAATTACTGTGGAATTAAATTATATTGTTGATTTGATTTCCCATATTTCTCTATCTATTATTTCGATCTATCAAATACTTCATTATTTCATTCAGCTATACTACTCTATTTTATTTGTACTTACCATCGTCATATCATATATTGTTACCTTTTAGAATACACATAAGAGTTATAACGGGTGCGAGACGAAGTAAAAAAATTGAAAGAAAATAAAAATATGTTTAGGCCATCTAGCATATTAGTTACAATTTTTAAATTCTATAAATTCATATATAATAAGTTTATAAAACAGAATGAAAATTTGTTGGTGTGCCTACTGTTGCATAAAATATAGAAATAAATATAAGTGAACCTGGCCTGTATTAATTCACCAAACATTTTATAGAAAACTTAATTCATAGATGATTAATTTACAGTCAAAGTTATTTACTGACGGTTAACCACAGACAAATTTATAAATTGCATCAACTTTAATTCTAACTTTACCCTAACGACAATGACAAGTATTACTTTGTCTGTAAAATGGTCTATCAGTGAAATAAACAGTCTATTGAACGAACTTGTCTGTTAATTAATAGTTGTAAAATGACTTTAACTGTAATTTTATTCTCAACGAACCAAGCTGTCTGTGATACTGTATAATTGTTTGTGAGTTGACACAATAAATAAAATATTAATTAAAATAAAACCGAATTCGTGTAACTAGATAAATTGATGATAACGGTAGAGAGTAGTTTACGTATTCTCACCTAATTTCGTTCCATCATATGATATTACGTACTATCTCAGAGTAACACGAACAGCAAATCTAATATGCTCATACATGACAGTAGCAGTATGCTATACCTACTATCTCTTAAACCGTTTGAAAATCATGCCAAATTTGGCCTGAATTTTACTATAAAAACACTTCTGATCTATTTTT